CCCCTCCCCTCCTGCCCCCTCCCAAGGCCTTTACTGTTACTGCACTACTGTCTGTCCATGGGTTATGCATATGTGCATATACATTCTTTGGTTAATCTCTTCCTGCCTCCCACCCCCTTCCCTCTGAAATTCATCCATCTGTTGCATGCTTCAATGTCTCTGGAGAGAGGACACCTTTTAAACAGTGGAATCAATCCAGATATAAAGGGAAATTTCATTTAGAGGTAAAGAAAACAAATGTTAAAAGAGAAGATTGCTGCCTTGGCCGGTTGCTCAATGGTTAGAGTGTTAGCCCGTGAACAGAAGATTCTCAGGTTTGATTCCCTAGTCAAGGGCAAGTAACCTTGGTTGTGCTTCGATTCCCGGCCCTGGTCAGGGTGAGTGCAGAAGGCAACCAATCAATGTGTCTCTCGTGTTGATGTTTCTCTTTCTCTTTCTCTCTCTCCCTCCCCCACCCTCTCCCTCTCTCTCTCTCTCCTTCTCTCTTCTCCCTCCCTTCCACTCTCTCAGGAAAAAAAAAAAATCCATGGAAAAAATATCCTCGGGTGAGGATTAAAAAAAAAGAGAGAGAGGCTTCCACAGACAGGGAAGGGTAATAAAAGAAAAAGTATGGCAGACAATTAGGTATAGCTGGTGCCTGGGTGAGTGGGGAGAAGCTGAAATATGGAGAGCAGTAGGTGAAATTGTGGATGGCCCAAAATTGCAGATGAAGAACATTAAGCTTTATGCTATTGACCTATGTTGTCCAACACGGGAACCACTAGCCACACGTGGCTATTGAGTTTGAAATGTGGTTAGTTTGGATTGAGATGTGCTATTAAATGTAAAATACACTCTGGATTCCAAAAACATAATACCAAAATAAATAAAAAAATAAATAAATAAAATGTCTTAGTAATAATTTTTTACTGAACATGATGAAATATTTTACATATATTGGGTTAAATAAATTGAAATGAATGATATTTAATTTTACTTTTTAAAAATGTGGCTACTAGAACATTTAAGATCATATATGTAGTTACAGTATATTTCTACTGGAAATCCATGGAAAAAAAATCCTCGGGTGAGGATTTTTTCCCCCATGGATCATATATGTAGTTACAGTTTATTTCCACAGTATATGTATAGCACTGCTATAAATAATAAGCCGACAAGGTATGGGATACAGTGATATAATCCAATCTATATATTTTAGAAAATAATCCTGATAACAGTGGAGAAAATGGGCTGGGAGAGGTCAGAGGTCAGGAGTCAGCTGCAAAATTTTAGGTTCCAGGTACTGAGAAAAGTAGAATAGACAATCACTGGAAATACAAAGGAATAAATACAAAAGATACTTATGCTCTATTATCAATAGGTTTTTTTTTATCAGTAGGTTTCTGAATCTGAGTACTGATTTGCCAGTTGGGAAGGGGGTGGGAATGTCTTCAGATTTTGAATTCTGTCTCTGGTGTGCTTAGTTTCAGGTGTCAGTGGAGCATTTTTTTTTTTTGAGAAAATGTTCTGTATGAAATCAGGAACTATGTGCCTGCTGCTGGGAAGGCAATCTGAGCCCAATCTTTGACAAAGATCCAGAACTGACACCAGAGGGGCAGATGAGCTGTTGGGGGAGAGTAGAGAGGGTAATAAATTCAAGGAGTTAATTCAAGGAGATCTTATCTTAGGAATGAGGATTCCTGGCCCAATAGCTCATTTGTGAACTGAATTCTTACTCTAGACATCAAATTACAATCACAGATATGATAACTGATTAAGGCCAAGTAATCCAGTTTGTCAGAATGATATAATTTGTTTAGAGGTGAAGAGAGGTGAAAAGGTGGGCTGAGTTCATTAGAAAGGCTTTGAATGCCAAGATAAAGAGTTTGCACTGAATATAGAAGCTATTTCCTTTAATTCACTGTAATCATCTTATGTCTCCATTAATAACAGTCTGTCGGCACATAGTCTAGCTTAAGTGTTTCCTTTGACCCAAAATCCAATTAAAACCATTATTAGATTAAGATAATGGTTACATATCTGAAATGGCTGAGCAAAAGGCTGAGAAGACTAAAGGGCACAGAAGATTCCTTTAGTTGTACCATTTATGTAGAAATGGCAGTTTTATGAAGTGGGAAATAATCAACTAGAAAATATTTATGATTTTTATATAATATTTTATGTTTTCCATGGACTGTTTTTCTAAAGTGAAAAGTTAAGAGAGGAGAACAAATAATTCTGGTGTATCTCACTTAAATGTATATATCACTTGAATGTATCTTTTTGTAAGAAGAACATTTTAAAATATTATTTTAAAATTATAGTTACAGCCCGACCATTGTGGCTTAGTGGTTGAGTATCAACCTACGAATCAGGAGGTCACGGTTCAATTCCCATGTCCGGGTTACGGGCTCAATCCCCAGTGGGCGGCGTGCAGGAGGCAGCCAAACAATTCTATCTCATCGCTGATGTTTCTCACTCTCTTTTCCTCTTTGAAGTCAATAAAGATATATGTATATTTTAAAAATTATAGTCACAGCCCGACCCTAGTGGCTCAGTGGTTTAGCATCAACCTATGAACCAGGAGGTCATGGTTTAATTCCTAGTCAGGGAACATGCCTGGGTTGTGGGCTCAATTCCCAGTTGGGGTGGCGCAGGAGGCAGCCAACCAATGATTCTCTCTCATCATTGATGTTTCTCTCTCTCTCTCCCCCTTCCTCTCTGAAATCAATCCTATATAATAAAAGGCTAATATGTAAATTGTCCCCAATGGAGAGTTCAACCAGGGGGCGGGGCCGGCCCCTCCCCCAGCCGGCCCTGCCCCTGATCAGCCCCCCCTCACCCCAATCAGGGCAGGCCAGCCAGACCCCAACCATGAACAAATTTGTGCACTGGGCCTCTAGTAAAAATATATTTTTAAAGATTATAGTTACTGGGGGCGGGCTGGAGGGGGTCAATGGGGGAAGAAAGCAGACATATGTAATACTTTCAACAATAAAGATTTAATAAAAATAAATAAAATATTGC